TGCTGAAGAAATTATTTCCAATTTGGTGCTCACAACCAGAGACTCTAATGATCAGTGGAAATGAGAAGCAAACAAATTAGCGCTAATGGGAAATGGCTTTTGGAAAAGAGGATTTAATTTATAGTCAACTGGTCACGGCATGCAGCACGCAGTAAAAGTCAGCTTCACCAGCTTGATCATAAGAACTGTAGCACACACGGAATGCCAGAGAAAAATATACGTGTGCCATCATGCTTATTGGAATCTCTCTGTAAGTGGCAGCCAATTAAAAGAGTCATTATTTTACCTTGGAGAAAAAACGGTCTGAAAAATCAAAGCACATGAAATTAAAATCCAGATTAGGAACCTCCGTCCAAATTGGTTTGTTTGTGGCCTTCTAACCTTGGCAAGGTCTTCTGCAAGGACGACAAACCTACTTTGTCTTCAGTCCAGGGTGGACTCTGTTTTTAATTTCCTCTCCATCTTCAGAGGTGATTAATAAATCTGGATTCATCTATAAATCATTTCTATAGCTGCCAAATGGTTCTTCTTCATGCAGAGACACTAAAATTACAAAATCTCAAACCTCAGCTCTTGCACTAAGCCAAAGGTCCTTAGCAACAGGCAAGAAGAAGTATGATAAAATCAAATGGTCAGTAGGTCTTATTTCTAAAAAAAAATTTCTCTTTTTCCCCTCCTAAATCAAAAGACATGTTTCTAAAAGCAAAAAGCCTTTGGGGCATAGGCTGCCAGCCTGGCTCATTGTCCCCAGATGGCCTTGGAGACAAAAAGGCAGTCACTGTGGGCTGTTTCTGCAGGTTCCACCAGCAGAATGGGACAGAGGCCTCCGCTTTGGCTCCCGCTCTGACTCCTCACGCTCAGCTCCCCATTCAGAGAGAAAGAAGAAGTGAGAGAAGGAGGGAGAAGAGAGATGGAGAAAGAAAGAAACATTCTTCTTCCAAACTTCAGGTCCAGCTAAGGAGGGAGTCCTAGTCTTCACTTCTACCTCAACTGGAGGGCAAATGCACCCCGATTTGTTACTTTCTTCTTACAGGCTCCCCACCCTCTGCTCCCCTCTCATACCATCTTTATAGACCCCCGTTGACACCCATCATTTCCCTGCAGATGGAGTCTTCCCCTCACTTCCCCAGTTGCCAGTCCCTCTCCCCTCTCCCCATAGATGATCTTTCTCCCCTCTCCTTCCTGCACAACCCTCTGCCTTCATCCTCTCCCTGGACATACCCTCATTTTCTACCCACATACTCCACTTTCCCTCTCTCCAGTTTCACTTCCACCCCCCAGCTCCACTCCACAGATCTGCCTTCATGCTCTCCCCACAAAGTGTAACTCTCTAGGTCAACCATAACCACTCTAACCACATTCTCCTCACCCTTCATTGCTCAATGCTTCATCTTCCTTGATCTGATTTTCTGTATTTCCTTCCCTTCCCAACCTTCTTACTCTGCTCCTGAAAGCCTTTGGATCAGGAAAGTCTCCTCTCCCTTGAGCTTCTCCAGTCTTTCTGGCTACCTCCGGGCTGCCCTGAAAGTTGCCACTATCCCAGGCCGCCACTTCTGCATAGCCTCCCTGGTGGATGCTGCTTATACTCTTACACCCCAAAGACATCAGGCTTTGGAGTGGGCTAATGTCTCCTCACTAAAGCCCAACCTGGTTCCTTAGTCTACCACCTTCTTGTAAAAACCGTTGCTACGATCCCTGGCTGGCGTAGCTCAGTGGATTGAGTGCGGGCTGTGAACCAAAGTGTCGCAGGTTCGATTCCCAGTCTGGGCACATGCCTGGGTTGCAGGCCACAGCCCCCAGCAACAGCACATTGATGTCTCTGTCTCTGTCTCTGTCTCTCTCTCCCCCTCCCTCCCTTCCCTCTCTAAAAATAAATAAAATCTTAAAAAAAAACAAACCCAAAAACCATTGCTACTTTGAGGGTCATGCCATCCAGCTGTATGGACCTTTATCCCTCCGCACACTGTGATCTACAGATTCCAGAGCAACCTGCTCTATTCATCAGGGACTTCAGTACCTAGTTCACCATTATCCTCTTCCCTTTTCCCTCAAGTCCTGCCACCATCCAGGAGGATTTCAGTGGCCCTGTCTACCCCTCGAATGTCTTCTGTACTCCACCTCAGCCACCTACTCCCACACCCTGGACCGTGTCATCACCTGGAACTAATCAAACATCATTACTCCACTTTCTGATCCTAACTCTCTCATCCAACTATTTTTAAGATATGGGTTCTCTAACTTCATTGGAACCCCAGTCCTTAACATTTTTATACTCTCCTATGCCATTTAGGTTTTAAAGTTCATCCTCTCAATCTTTTGCCAGGATTTTCAACTTCCTGGTCCCTTGTCTTTCTATTTTACTCACCTGATAAAATCCAAACCTGAGTCAATTCAGCTAACCTCTCTGTACCCACCGCTGAATGGCTGAATGCTGTTGGGGGAAAGATATGTACCACACAACCACAGGGACCACTACTGCTGCGAGTTAATGGTTACCAACCTCAACAGGTCTCATAACTGCCCATGCCGCCTCAGTCATCTCGTTCCCGTTCTTGTCTGCAGCTATTTCAGCCTCTCTGCTCTTCTCAAACCCTGCACACCATCTCCAGCCCTGCTCTCACAGGCTGACATCAGGTCCCCATTTCACAGAGAAAACAGAAACCATCAAATAAGAATTCTCTCAACTTCTCGCCACCAAACCTATTAATGTATGAATCTCACACGCTTCCTTTTTGTTACAATCCAAATGTCATTTGACCTTTCTAAGTGAATTTCTCAACCAGTGCTTTGGAGTCCCTACATTATTCTTTTTCCAGGGTTGCCACTTTTTCTCTATACTTTCATCTTTTTTTCCTTTTCCTGGATCCATGCCAACAGCATTTCTCCCATCTGAATAAAAACCTGTGTTTCCTTCCAGCTATTGCCATCTTTCGTTTTTCTCCTGAAGAGCCAGCCATCCTAAAAGTGTATTGTACACATGGTTTTCACTTCCTCACTTTCCCACCTACTTCTCAACTCACTAATTTGACGTCTGCCTCCAGTGCTCCACTGAAACTGCATTTGCAAAAGTCACCAACAACTTCCTTGTTTCTAAATCCGGTGGATTTTTTCAAACCTTATTTTATTTGATTAGTCATCAGCCTTCAACACCTTCCTCTCCTGGCTTCTGAAATACCATGATCTACTACTTACCATGATTATCTTACCACTCTGGACACTTCGTCTCAATGACCTCTGCAGATTCATTCTCCTCTGCCAGACCCTCAGACTTGAGTGCTTCTTGGAGATCTGTTTCCAGCCCTCTTCTCCTTTTATTCTACACATATTCCCTGGGTCAGCCCAATAAATCAATCCACTGGTGTGGCTGCCATCTGTAAGTCACAACAGACTACCACATTTCTATTTCCAGTTTAGGCTTATCTGGTAAACTCCAGTCAGGCCCACTCAACTGCCTGCTGGGTGCCTCTGCTTGGATTTCCCACTGGCACCTCAAATTCACCAGGCCCAGACTTACCCTCTCCTAAAAAACCCACTTCTTCTCCTTTCTGTTTGCCCAAGTCAGGAATTTAGAAGTCATCCTTCTTTTCTCCTACTTTGCCCCACCAGGTGCCAAGTCCAGTTCTTTTTAGCTATAAGTGTCAAAGGAATCCATCCCCAATTCATTCCTGCTACCTTTCTATGCTCTAGGACACTGTAATGCTTCCCCATTACTCAAACAACTTCCTAACTGGTCTCCCTGCAACCTGTTCTCTGCATTGATCTTTCTAAAGCATAAATGATTGCTACTCCTTTCCCAAAGCCCTGCAATGACTCCCGACTGTCCTCAAGATAAAATCTAAGCCCTTGTACTCATAAGAAACACACTGGAAAATTTTTACAGTCAGTAAGATCTACCAGTAAACTCAAAACTGAGCTTGGCATCGGAGAACCTCTAGGGTGGGAGCTAACTGTTCTTCCAAGGTTACTCTCACATTATTATCTCCTCTGGCCAGAAGACGCTCGTAATTTATAATTTATGGCACTCCTCAGTTTCCCCTTTTTGAGCTCCTGCAAAGAGTCCTTTCCCCTCCATATCTCCACAAGTCTTTCAAGGTCCACCTGAAGAGCCATCCCCACTGTCACAATTGTCCCTTCAACACTTTCTGAGCTCATGCAGAATTAGAGTTGGTTTTCTCCTTTTCCTGTTAAGAATTATGGAAGTCAGGGCGAAACGCTTAATCCTTACTAGAGCTCATTTATATAACAGGTGCTCAGTAAACATTTGTTAAATGCATGGATAAATGCAAAAAAAAAAAAATGCCCCAAACTGTATTCCCTTTCCCCTTTGTTTCCCTCACGAACAGAGTATTTTCTGTCTTCACCTGCAGTTTTCCCCACTGCCTCCTACCCACCCCACCATTTAGGATAATGCCTCACCCCACCGGGTGGAGGATGGGCCCACACGCGCTCCCTAGGCCGTTTTGTACGGTTTTCTACCTCTCCTTTGGAGCTGCGATAGTAGGGGATGGCGGAGGTAGCTAGATGATGTACGTCACAAGGCACTGTCGTCCACCCCGTAGGATAGACAGGGTTAAGAAGAGAGACCCTCACCATTCCCAGAATACAGCAACTCTCCCAACAGACTCTCTTACCTACGCAAGAGGGTGGGGACTCTTCCTGATCGTCGTCCCAGTTGACCAATACCTGACCCACATCAGGCGAGTCAGCCAATGATTGCGAGCTAGGGATAGAGCGGGGCGGGTCCTGGTTGCTATGGCCGAGCTTGTGGGGTGTGGCGAGAGGCTCTGAGAGAAACTCGGTGGTTGCTAGGGTGAGAGGTCACAGAGCGCGCTCAGGGATTGGGCAATATTGGCGGAGGTGGGTGGTGACTGGGCGGTGCCCACGAGGCCCCGGGTGAAGTGTGAGTGCGCGAGCGCGAGTTCCGGCGGGAGGACAGCGCTGAAGGCCGGCACCTTCACCATGCCCTCGGCTGAGCTGGACTACACCATCGAGATCCCGGATCAGCCCTGCCGGAGCCGGGGTATGGAAGGAGGGTTGGGTCCAGTCGTGGGGAGGTGACCTAACGAGTTTGTGGGTCTGAGGCGCAGCTATGGCTCCGCCCCCTCGCGGCCCCGCCCTCTCGCGGTCAGCCCTCTCACAGGGTCCTGGAGGTCTTAGAGTTGGTCTGGGACAGTGGAACAGAGGGCCACGCCCCCTCGTAAGCCCCGCCCAGGTGTGCTCAACCTGTCGGAGCCCCTTCCCTTCCCTTCGTCCTCTGGTCTATTGGGGGCCTTTTCCCCCTATCTTTTTAATCGGCGTTTTCCGCCAAGAAAAACAAGTCCTTGCCCTTGTTTTTCTTCTGGTAGCTGAAGGCTGGGGAGGGTAGAGGCTCTCCTGATTCCTTTGTTTGGAGCCGGACTTCCCACTTCTAGCGTCTCTTTGGCTGTTGCGGCTTGAGGTCCCAGTCACTATTTTCTCGGGGTCTTCACTGAAGCCCGGAACATAGAATCCTTTATCCCTCTCTCCTTCCCGCTCTCCATAGTTGTGGTTAACAGAGCAGTCCCTGCCGTCAGGTAGAAGTCAGTTCACATCCTGACTCCTCCCGGTAGTAGCTGGGTGACCTTCGGCAGGCAACCCCCTCTGAAATTCAGTTTCCTCACCTGCAAAAGTGAGGTACCGATAGTAACCTCCCTAACAGGGTTGTTGGTTGCACAACAGATGGTTTGTGTTAAGGACCCAGCATAGTGCCTGGCATGGAGTGAGTTTAATGATTAGCGTTATTTTCCTCCCTACAGTCATATCGGTAAAGAAAGGTGTGTGGGAGGCTTCCCTAAAGTTAGTAGCCTGTATGTAGAGCAGGCCTGGCCCCCCGCCCCCGCATTGTGAGTAGTATTGGGGACCCACAGAATGGAAAGTTGGGCCCTCACTGGGAATTATGGTAGAGAAACGTTGAAGTACATGTCTGTCCAAGCCCAGCAGGTCTCTCCCCTGCATTACTCCATATTGCCTTCACGCCTCGAGTCTCACTGCCAGCAGCTCAGCCTCATATTGCTAACACAGTGATCTTCCTAATGCAAAAGTTTGATCTATCACTGCTCTGTGTAAAACCCTTCAGTGGCTCCTTATTGCCCTCAGGATAAATCAAGTCCAGATTGCTTAACATGGCATTCAAAGTCCTTCATAATTTATCAGCCCCTGCTTACCTCTTTGGTCACTATGTCCTTCCACTGTGCAATTTGAATTTTATGTTCTGGCAACCAAACTGCTTGTGATTCTCCACACATTTCTTGCCTCTCTGCCTTTGCTCCTGCTGTTTCCTCCATCTGGAATGCCCTTTCCCCTCTGCTGCCCCACACTGCCCCCCTGACTAGTTCGGCTCATCATTTAAGGCTTAGCTCAGACGTTGCCTCCTTCAGGAGAGCCTTCCTAGACTCCTCCCGTAGCATCTTGTGTTCCTTGCTTGGTGTCTAAGAGGGAAAGGCAGGCCCTGGGCTCCCACAGAACAGATGGCTGTAGATCGGCCATATTTCCCTAGAACTGGGCTCAGGGAAACCTGATCTGTTGGCTTAGGCACGTTTTGGCATCAGCAGGACATGAAGCCAGTTAATATTCTTGTCCTTGGAGAGACTTCAGCTGCAAAGGGCTGGAGCTGCCTTCTGCGTGGCCAGGAAGGCAGAAGTTCTCTCTCAGCACAGGTGGGCAGCCTGGCGGTCTTGTTTGTGTTTCAGATCTACCTCCTACTGGTTCTGTGGCTTGGCAAGTTGTTGAACCTCGTCATGCCTCAGATATCTCCACTGTAAAGTGGGAATTATAATAGTGCCTACTCCAGGGGTTGTGAGAGTTAACAAGATAGTGACAGAGAGTGCGTGCCTGGCACGTTATTGGTGTATTTTCTCTGCTTGTGGCTCCCCTCATTGTTTGAGGAGACTGGGTCCTAGAACTGGAAGAAATCTTGGGGGGTCATTTTGTTCTGCATCCTTCTACTGGTATGAGGGCATTCTGTTGCTGCCAGACGGGTTCCTGACAGGTTGCTTCCTCCCACACATCCTGGCCTGCTGGAGGCAACTGGGATTGTTAGAAAGCACTTCCCTTTCTTGAGCCACAATAGGCCTTCCTGTAATTTCTTCTTTCAGTTCAGTATTTGCTGTGTCCTGGCCCTGGGTTTGTTGCTGGTGCCTCAGAAGCGAGTCACACAGAGGCTGCCTTCAGGGAGCTGTGGTTTTGGGAAGGGGCGAGGTTTATAAGCAGCTCGTTTCACAATGATGTGGCCACTGGAGGTATAGAGGGTCATGGTGGATACACAGTAATTGCTCTTCCTCACTCGAGAGGACAGCCTCACACCTTCCTCAAATCTCTCTTCTCCAAGACAGATACCTCCAGGACCTTCAGCTGTCCCTCCTCTGATGTAGTTCTGATAATCTCCTTCTGATTGCTCCTCTGGACTGGCTTTAGTTCATCATGTCCTTTCCCTTAAAGTGCATATACCCCAGAGCTAAACTGGACCCCTCCCCTGAGGGAACTGGGTCCCTCAGAAGGAGGCAGCAGCGCTGTGCTCACCTGAATCCATTTGCTTCTGATCTGCAGAGAGCTCCCTTCCAGGCTGACATTGCATCATATAGTGACAGTCTTTGGGAACCCCGGAGATTGTCCTTCTTTGCATTTGCTGTTTAGTGGTGGAGAAGTATGTAGGACAGTCATTTTGGTTTCTGGAATTGTTTTCCCCCCATATTTGAACATCAAAACCACAGAGCCCAGGACTGCTGTGATTGACAGTGAGGTGAGCAGCTGCTGCTGGCATATCAGTTGGCTGGAATGCAACTCCCCCCACCCCCCCCTTATACCTGCTCCCTTGTCATTTCCTTGGTGAAATACTTTGTCCCCGGCTACTCACTCCTAAACCTTTTCTTTAAATTTTTATTTATTGATTATAGAGGAAAAGATATGGAGAGAAAGAGAGACAGACAGACACAGACAGACATTGATTTTGTTGGTCCACTTATTTATGCATTCATTGGTTGATTCTTGTATGTGCCCTGCCCAGGGATTGAACCTGCAACTTTGGTGTTTCAGGATGATGCTCTAACCAACTGAGCTACCTGGCGAGGGATAATGTGCAGATTTCAGTTACCATTAGGAAGTTTTGCTTGAATACAGTTCCATTTCTAGGAAACAATTAAGGACGTGCACCAAAAAAGAGGTGTCCATTAAAGTATTTTTATAACAGCAAAAAATTGGGAACAATATCATGTCTAATAATGGGAGAATGGTAACCATAAATTATGAAATATTCTACAGCTGCTCTCCAGCCACTACAAAGAATGGTGCAGAAATATATAAACTGACAGGGAGAGATATTCACAATATATTGCTAAATCGAAGAAAGCAGATTACAAAACAGTATGATTCCAATTTTATTAGATATTCATTTTCTCCTTTTCTACAATGAGCATGCATTCCTCGTGAAGTAATAATAATAACTTCGATTTATTGAACTCTTTCTTTATGCCAGCTACCTTTATAGTCATTATTTTATTTAATCTTTCATATTATTATCCTCATTTCAGATAAGGAAATTAAAGCTTAGAGAACTTGCTCAAGAGCTGTTTCATAGTTGCTAGAGGCAGAGCCAGAGATTTGAACCCAGATATGGTTTTATACAGTGTGTACTCTTAGGTGTTGTGCTACTCTCTTTATTTCAAAAAGTAAAATAAAAAAAAAGTAAATTTTAAATAATTTAGTTTAAATGTAGAAACTGTGAGGATCTAGAAAATATTTCTGGGGAGTAGAGGAATTTGAGCATCCTTTTATTCTTCACATTTTAAAAAGAAAACCCAGGTCCTTTGTGTCGTCACTCTGGCTTACAGATAGAAAGCACACAGTGTGCCACAGACCCGTCTGCCTTGTCAGCCCTTTCTTGTCACTGCCGATGCCCCTGGGGCATGCACAATCTCATTTACGCTTCAGTGTTGTGACTCGAACTGTTGTACAATATGTGTATTGGTAATTCTTGTATTATTAGTGTCAGCATTTTGTTGAGAAATTCTAGAGGACAGGGAGCTTGTGAGATTAAATTGTTTGGCGGGGTGCTTGGAAAGTGCTGGGGTTGACAGGAATACTTCTGCCTGGCCGGGGCGTCTGGGCACCCATGCACCCACGCATGGCCTCTTTGACTTCTCAGTGCCTTTGACTCTGGAACACCCTCCCCCTACCTTTTAAAAAATAACATTTTAACTCTCATTACAAAAGTGATACATGTTGTTTATAGACAACGGATAAAAATATCACAAAAAAATTGCCTCTAATCCCAGAAATAATTGCTATTAATATCTGATGTATTTTTCTACGCACGTGTATGTTTGTGTATATATGTATATATGTATTCTGTTCATACCACTTTTCAGCTTGCTTTTTCACTTAGTGTATTACTGTTACTTTTTTATTAAAATTTTTTTAAAAATTTAATTTATTTTTAGAGAGAGTGGAAGGGAGGGAGAAAGAGAGGGAGCAATACATTGATTGGTTGCCTCTCGCACACTCCCAACTGGGGACCTGGCTTGTAACCCAGACATGTGCCCTGATTGGGAATTGAACCGGTGACCCTTTGGTTTGCAGGCCAGTGCTCAATCTACTGAGCCACACCAGCCAGGGAGTGTGCAGGTGTTTTTATGGACATGTATTTTCACTTCTCTTGGGTATATATACCTGGGAGTGGAAGTGCTGGGTCATTTGGTGACTATATGTTTCTAATTTTTTTGAGGAACTGCCAAACTGTTTTTTGAAGTGGCTGCACAATTTGATATTCTTTTTTTTTTTTTAAGTCAGCTTTTTTTTTTAAAGATTTTATTTATTTATATTTATTTTTAGAGAGGGAAGGGAGGGAGATAGAGAGAGAGAGAGAGAAACATCAATGTGCGGTTGCTGGGGGTTATGACCTGCAACCCTGGAATGTACCCTGGCTGGGAATCGAACCTGGGACACTTTGGTTCCCACCCTGCGCTCAATCCACTGAGCTATGCCAGCCAGAGCTCAATTTGATATTCT